CTGACTCTACAAGGTGGCAGGGCGGGAGCAGGGGCCTGGCTCGAGGACGAGGTCGAAACGGGCCCTATGACGCCCACGTTGCCCCCACGTACCCCGTCCTCGGCCGAATGTTGCCTCGAGGATTGCGAACTCTGCGACAACCAACGACGACCGCCGCCTCTCGTCACCACCGTTGATACGCTCGACCCTGTTGCCTGATGGGACACCACCACCGTCCCTCCGCTGTCCAGTGACGTGCTCTGCGATCAGAAATTCAAATCAGTCGAGTTTGCTCGATCGAGATGGCCAGGGATTGACTTTAACTTTTAGGAACGGTTGGCTGGAAAACTGTAGGGGGGGGAAAAAACGTAACGAGTTTACTTTTATCGATTTTTTCATCTCGGTTGCTGATCTTGGTTGCTGAGAGAGAATATTTCGATGATTTTCGATCAGTAATCTTTACAACAATTTTGGAATATTTTGGAATATAACGTAAAGTGAATTTTAATACGTTCTTTTGATGTATCTTTCATACAAAGATCGTGGTGGATATAAAATTAATCGTCACGAAATTCTCTCTATTCAATTTACGTAAGTCGTGTGAAATTACCATAATTCGGGAGAAATTAAATTTGAAACAAAAATGGGGGAGGATCTATCTAGGTGCGAACTTTACGTAGCTAATAATTTTTTAATGAAACGGGAGGAAAGTTATAATAATATATAGCGAGAGAAATGTTTCAAGGTGCGCACTGTAAGAAATTGAGTTCAACTTCTGTTGGGATTTGAAGTATCGAGGTGAAGGTCGTGACAAATTTTTTGTCATTTCGGCTTTCAAACCTCGCTAAATAGAGCAGGATTTATTTATTAACGAAAGATCGTTAAGTCTAGCATTTAAAATTTTTGCACAAGTTATATTTTAACTATAAATCTTAGGATGTATCAACGAAATAAATAATAATTAACAGGCTCGAGCAACGTTTTCTCCTTGAATTCTCGGACTTGGCACATTCAGAACGATACCGTAAATGACGCTCCCTAATGTGGTAACTTGGATGCGGTTAGAATAAATAGAAACGTATTTGAGTTCTTTTCTTTGACGTTTTCAATTATTCCTTCGAGGGGGGAAGCTAATCGATTCAGCATAGGCTGTCGAAGATTTCTTATTGGTCTCGTCTTTTCATCGTCTTCTGTTTATTTTTTTCACTCCTTTTATCCGCATCCTTCGATGAACGACAAGCTAGTATTCCCGCTCGATGGAGAATTCGCATTCTTCAACCAGGGAATTCGAGATTCGATGATCGCTTCGAGGAAATCGCCATAGAATTTCTTAAGATTCGCGGAATATCGAGAGGAGAGGGTTTATTGCCCATTTTTGCCTTTGTTAATCGCATCCGTGCCCTCCCCCTTTGCATTCTTTCGATTCTGTTCACCGTACATGGTTTATTTTGCGATCCTCGTCAAAACGATATTAACTGTAATTGTTTTCTTTTTACCAGTCATTAATTGTTGTACCCTTTTTCTTATCTACTTAGAAAAAAATAATAGAATTATCGACTTACGATATATTTCTTATTCTAATAAAAATTAATGTTTTCCTTAAAGTCACTCTCTTTATTTACTTATTTAAAAATAACAAAAACGAAAAGCCTGGCAATATTCTTCTAATATTCCAATTAAAATCCCATCTTTCATTTTATCATCTCATCGAAACTTAAATCTTTCATTTGCAACGATGGCATATTTGAAAATGGAAAATTCAATATCGTCGAATATAATTCATCGCGACACATCGAAAATCAAACCTGGTCGAGATTACATAAAAGTATTCTGGAAGTAATCGTGACGAGGTAATGTCGGCGCGTCGCAACACCAGACGAACTAAACTCACAACACAGGTTGCCGGCTGTTTCTACTTCCAAATACGGACGAGGTGCGAGAGACTGGCTACGCAACTCCTTCGATGAAAGTATTTTTATTTTTGTCGTGAGCTACGCCGAAGAAACCCGTCTCACCACGCCGATCCATCGTGGATCGAGAGGAGTCGTAACAAACCGGAGAGAATCCTATCGCTTGAAAGATATCTTAAGCCATCAGATTCTCGCCGATTAATTGTGGCCAGTGTTCCATCGCGTTTCTTCTTTTTTTTTCTTTTCTCTTTTCTTCTTCTTCTTTTCCCTCCTCCAGCCACCGAATTGGCGCCGTTGATAAGAAATATGAAGAAATCGAGGTCGTCGCAGCGTTTTATTACGCGTGCACGTCCGATTTCTTTCGGCAACTTGGTTGTTTACCTAACGTGGAAAAATTGAAACGACCTCGAGCCTCGAAACAGGATAGAAATCGAGTGGAATATCTAGGTCGGGTCGATAATTCAACCGCCGTAAAACTGGATTTATCGCGTTTCTACGGCGAAACTTTGTTTTCTATCGTTTCCTGTATTTCTGAAAATCATCGATTAATATTATTACAGGCATCGATAGTCCATTGCAATGTCGTAACTATTCGACAGTGCAGAATTCCGAGGCCTGTTTGTTGTGCAACGGAAAGAAGATCGCGTATCCGGGGATACCGATAAACAGGAAGAGCTGCCAATTGTGCATTAGAGACGTGATCGATCGCTAAAGATTGTTAAATACTATTTTTATCGTTACAGGATATTCAAACGAAGCTGTGCAAAATTTTTATATATAGTTTGATTATTAAATTTTCTAAACGAATGATATTAGAACCGAATACGATTATTAAAATTCTACAACAAGTTGTTCTCAAGTTTTAAATTTAAAACTTAGAAAAAATTATTAGCTATTAAAGATTATATTTCAAGCTTATATATCTAAAAAATGTCAATCTTTTAGATATTTCAAAGAAAAAAAAAGATGGAAGAATAGATTTATAGAATATAATGATAGAAATGTTTAAAGAAACATTTAAACATTTTATTAAGAATGAAATTACTTACGTTTAAGTGATTCTTTCTGGATGTAACAGAAGAGTCTTGGGACGAGCCTCTCGAATAATGCCTGGAGAACACTTCAGCGAGTCTAGATCTTCCCGAGGTGGTTGCATTGACTTTGGATTTGTTTGGCGGCGATTCCTCGGCTGTTTTGGCCAGATTCGGATTACTGCTTTTGCGCTCCGGGAAAACTAAATGCTCGATGTTTGGCGTGTATCCAGGATCACTTCTCACGATATCCTGAAGAGTGATACGGCTACCGGTACTCGAACCGCCATTGCTGGAACAGATCGATTTCTTTTTATTAAATTAAAATTCCCGCCATATTCGTATTAATTACGTATATTTTAATTGAAATGTGCTTATTTAACCTTATAACATCTCATTCTCGAAAAATTTAAAAGGATTTTATTTTGATAAAATTTTATTCCACATTTTTTGCTTATTTTCACGTATAAAGTAACCATCTACCGATATTTTATTCATAGCTAATCAGGAATCGGTCAATTCTATTTGGATTTTTTCACGTGAATGTACAATTGTTTGTATATAACGTCTAATTCATGAATAGAGAATTGAATCGGTGTTCTGTCACTGTCGATGGCGCGAATATGCCGATCAATTACCGATCTGATAATATGCTGTCAACTCGATAACGATTTTAAGTCGATAACGATTTCCCTCGGCTCGATACCATCGTATTTGACGGTGTTCTCGATTGTTTGCAAGTCAAAATCCTCGACTCGACTCCGCGACGAGAATCAACAATAGTGGAATACGATTAATATTTATAGAGGATACGCGATCTCCATCGTTCTTCATGAGGATGTCTCCAGGGGTGTCGAGATTCTTCTCGCGTGAAAGGAATTTCGTCAAGGGACATTGGGGAAAGGGTGGTGAGCGTGGAACAGTGAAAGAGCAGAAGCATGATGGTGGGAACAAAAGGGAGGGTGAGACAAAGAATGGGCCAGAAGGCGGATCAGTGAAATGCACGGTGAATGCAATGTCGCGCACGTCGACACGCGTAATGCCGGCTTAAAAGGGTTAATTATGCAAGCCCGCTGAAAGCCACGGATAGTTTACTGTCCCCTGATATTTTTGTCCGAGATTTCCTCCTCTTCTACTCATATAATACGTTAAAAACGATTTAAAAAAAAGGAAAAGGAGAGAGGAAAAGTAAGAAAGGAACGGGCGGATTCGTAATAAAAATGTCGACGGCAGACCAGCTCCGGGGATCTATTGTAGTCGAGGCTGTAATGAAGACGAATATATAAACGAGGCGAGGGAAAAAATTCGATACACAGAAACCGTTTCCAAGATCGTTACTCTATTATACGTTCTTTTCTCCTGCTTCTTGTTCATCTTTGATTTCAAAAATTTTAAAAGATGTTAAAAAATATATCTTTAGAATGAATAAATAATTGTCTACTAAAATATTTACTATTCCCTAATGCTTCCCTTGAATTGATTTCACTTGTGTAAATAATGCACTATTTTCTCGCAAGTATTAATAATTGTTGAAAGCTTTGTCTCTTGATTTTTGTAGCAAACGTTATAATAATAAGTTACATTACGATCGAGATATTTCATCAAACTGACCTGGGTCCGAAACCGTACGACTGCCTCTGGCCTCGTCTTTTCCCGCTGCCACGGCCAGGCTTGATGTTTGTCACCTCCGCTAATTGCAGCAAGCGATTGCGATGCTGCCGCAACAGCGGGTCTTCCCTGCGATTCATTTTAACCGGTGCAAGTGGAATCCTGTCGTTCCAGCATCCTGTAATCGCAAAAAAACAAAGGTCGCTTAAATATTCTCTTCGAATAGAAAAAAATCCGCGCGAATGGTGCACAATTATCGTGATTGTCGCCACAATTTATTGAACTCGTTGAAGATTTATTGAAACATGGGAAAAAGTAAAACAGGAAAATGGATGGATTAATCTGCGTTAATATTATGAAAATGATGATAAATCTCTCGTTGTCAAATGTGCAGAATTTTTTTGCCTCTCTCCCCACGTCAATATCGAATTTACGTAGCTTTCTTTTTACGATTTTGACGCCATCAAATTTAATTTTCATCAGTTTTATTTCTCTTCGCGCTCTTGGATGAATTAATTTGTTTCGAAGGAAACTTTTTTTTTTTACGATTCTAGCGTTATCATTGTTCCTCTCCACTTTCGTGTTATCGAGTTGTGATGACCACGGTCTCGAAATTATATATGACAGTTTTCTGTACTAAAAAGTTTACCATTGCGCGGATGGGACATGTGCATTCGATCGTTAAAATTTAACGATACTTGTTCTAGAAATTCTAACAAGGAAATGTAATCGAAATAATTCGATTGGGATCTCAATAGACATCTTCGTGGGGACGATAATCGATCTCGTGTTAAACGTTAGGCAATATGTTTCAATAGAAACTATTCTTAAAACTTTAAAGGCAAAAGGATGGTAATTGTCGGCTTGTGGATTCTTCTCTCGGGGCTCGTGTCGGATCAGGAAAAAAATTTACTACTGACACTGTGCCCGCCATGCTTTCAGTCCTCTTTGAAATAGAACTGGGGGGGAGGAAGGGAAATCTTGGCAAATAGGACCGAAAATGTCGTTCCCTTTTTTTTTTTTTTTTTTTCTTTCTGTTTCACTGTTAAAAACTTGCGGCATTGTGTCAGCACTGTATCGTCTCTATAAACGTTCCTTTTTGTTCTTTCAATTGAAACGATTTTCCATTGAACACAAAGAACTATGAAACGTTTTTTCTATTTCCATTCGAAAGTATCATTGAACGTTCTATTCGATAAAACTATCGACCGGTTTATTAGTTTATCGCGCCGTTAAAAGTTATTTCGAGTTCTTTCAATCAAAAAGAACGCTAAAAATAATGTTTAATTATCCGTATACGATTAATTAAATAAAACTTCTTACACTTTCGTAATTCATAAATACATCTATATCGTTGGAAGCCAATAAAGTCCAATATTTGATATTTAGCAATAATGAACTCTATTTTAAGTTGGAGCATCGATAAAAATTTTCCGAAGCGTAACCAATTTATGTGTTGATGAGAACGTATAAAGTTTTAAATGAACATTAACGTGGTCCATGCGTAAATGTGATGGAAGTGCGTCGTATATTGTGAAAAAAATTATTATTCATCTATCGAAGATGATTACACTTGCGTACCATTATATTTAATTCTAATGGAATTCCGCGAGAGAATCACGAAAATATAACAAAATAAAACAAACATTTTTATTTAGAAGGAATGGAAAACAAGAGTGAAAAAGCATTCAATGAAATTAAAATTTATTATCTTCAAGTTTCAAGTTTAATCGATATCTAACTTTTAAACATATAGTACACAAAAATTGAATATTTAACCTTTTACGATCTCTATAAATAAATGTTGCAGTCGGTTTATTCTTTCATCACTGAACATTGTCAAAGACATACGATGTTATTTAACGAAAAAAATATAAAATGTAACGCAGAATTTATACACGTGAAAAAATTCTGTAAAATATACCCTCTATCGAGCAAATGTTTCACGAGAAACAATTTTGTATTTAATATCTACTAACTTTATCAATTTATATTTATATTTATATTTAGAATCAAAAGAAAACTTTGATTTATTTTTTTCTAATGAGAAATGTTTTTTTATAAATTGAAAATTTCCAGAATATTCCATTTTCGGAAAGATAACTCCAAGAATTCTGTTTCCTCTATTTTTCTATTTTCAACATTGATATACCATTTATAAGATATAACAAAAATTATATGGATAAATAAATCAACTCCTTGGAATATTTTATATTTGCATTACAATATATATGTCATCACCAAAGAAGAATATCTTTGATGATAACGTTATTTATATATATAACATATACCTACTTTAAATAAATTTTAAGGATAATAGCTCGATTAAAATGCATAGTTATATAGAAGCAACATTGTTGTCTATATTGAATATTAATTGCGTTTCAAAAATTTTCTTACGAAAATGAATATTTTCATATTTTATGACCCATTGTTCAAACAATACGAAAATAATTTCAACTAAAAATAAATAATTAACGATAAAATATTAAAACATTTCAATAATTTCAGTGTAAAAAAGGTTTTTCAATTTCTGCAACAGAAGAATATTGCACGTGACAGAATTTTACGAATAAATGAACATGGAAATAAATTGTGCGGAGATTTTTGCGCGTTTCTCAGTTGTAATTCGAAAACGTGTTCGCGCGTGGCTAAAGTCACTCCATAAATTGTAAATTGTGATCGGAATTTACGAGTGGGACGCACTGCGGTTTTTCGAAACGAGAATTATCCGATCGAAACAGATGCTTCGAGTCGACTGATCAAGATTTATGGTTACGTGTCCAAGAACGAAATAGCGGTGAAGCAGAGCGATTTGCAATAGTTTCCATTTATCGATCTCTCTTGACCTTTCATAAATATATATTCAAGAATTGTATACAAGATTTAGAAGAAATATTTCTAAACTATTTGTCAAAAATAATATATTCATTGGAAGATTTTATTCGAATTTATATTTTTAAATTGATTTAATTATCTTTTTATTTTACGAGCATACGTTGTACGGAGATAAAGAAATAAAATTATAGGAATTTTTGATCGAATGTTGGCAGTGACACATGACACGTCGGGCATTTAATTAAACTTTTAAAAGTACGTAGCAATTAGAATGAAGTATGCAAATGCACAATTCAATGAAACCGTCGAGTGTGAAATACCATTAATGTTGGGTTAGACGGAGTTGAAATTAATTTTATTTACGAGAAAATCTAGCTAATGACTGTCATTTCATTGATTTATGAACAATTCGGTGTGTTACGATTTTACGATCATCATACTAGTGAAATTACAAAGCTGTATAATAAAACTCGTTGAAATGCTCTTTACGAAATTATTAATTATATTCAATAGTCATTGTAAATTAAAATTGTACCACAACTATTATATAGAATAAAATTATTACTTTCGATATTATTAATTTATTTGCTACGCACACGTTCCTCTTTTCCAATATTCTCGTTTCCACTGTTCAATTTTATATTCTCACATTTCACTTAACATACTTAAACACACCTTGCAAATAAACCAAGACATTATGCTAAAACCAGCAATAACAAAAACGATTGAATGGTAGAAAATTTATAAATTATAACAATAAAATGGAATATTCGCGGTAAACTTAAAATGCGTTTGTTTTCGCCAGGTATCGATTGAAACCTCCAGTAATCGTCTCCTTCTTTTCATCTCTCGCCATCCAAGGGCTAAGAGTTATTATTCTAACGAGCAATTCGCTTTAAATATTTCCCCTGCGGATGATTCGCAAAGAACATGGTCCCCGCAAGTACACGAAGTGGTGCTTTCCAAAGCGTTGAGCGGAGTATCCACGCCTATTCACAGTTAACGTAAGCGCCAATGTTGCATATAAATGTGTGCAATATTCCACGCGAGCACACAATGTCGGTATTATCCGGTTGGCTCTCGTGTTCGTTGCCAGATAAATACAATGGGAACGGGGCGTTAAGTCAACACGGCGTGGTTATCTGGACTCTTGGAAGAGGAGAAAATGCTCGTGAAGGAACGGTATACGTTCGAAAGCTCTTAAAGCTCGGGTCATCGTTGAATTACGCCTGGATTTTCGAGGATCGCGCTATTGTGCTCGCCACTCCATGATAATTTTCCCCGCATCCTTTTTACACGATTTCACCGTCCTTCGATTGTCCCTCCATAGCAATGGATGCTTCTCTTCGTTACGTAATTGCGTAATTACTAATTGCGTAACGATGAAAAATGACAATCTTGCGTAATTATGGTAGATAGGACGAAAGTATCGTGTCCAAATATAATAAAGTTCGTTGCATACATAATATATACATATATATATGCTAAAGTGTCGTCACGGGATCTTAACAATTCGAGTCACTGCCAAGACTTGTAATTTCATTGTGAAATTAATAATTCAGTTATTTCAAGATGAAATAGTTGCTCAGACGATTGGGACAGATGTACGTTCAACAAGATACGGATAATATTAATGATCGATTCTTGGTAATCCTTCTCATACAGTTTCATAGATTAATTAATCACGTAACTCGACAAATCCTCTATGCGAGATCATGCTGATAGAGGTTCAAAGTTGGCTGAAATTTCGCCGTGGAATTTCCCAGATGATTTCCCCATGGAATGCACGGCAAACCATAAAACTTTGTATCGGGCATATTATTGGCCGGTTCATAGACGATATCGACCAGCATTTTTCAATCAAGTTCTCTCCGACAATCGTATATTGCTATTTCGATCGTTGTCTTCGCCTACGATAACCTGTCTAGCCTGCGAAATTATACATTTAGCGTGTACAAGTGGTTGGTAGACTACCCTTATCACCGCGCTACGAGTGCCGTATATTGTCCAAATTCTCAAGAGAGGAATATTGAAATTTTGTATCGTTGATAGGATCGATAAATATCATAAACGTGACGCGCGTATGTAATATCTTCTTTGGAAAATAAGTTCAATAAATATTTTTCCCCGTTAATCAAGCTATTACGAATACTTGAGAAATTAATTAAGAAATTTTGAAATTGAATTTCGAGACCACCCGCAATTGATCTGACAGGGGAAAATAATTCGATATTTTATTCAATCCTGAGAGATATCGTGGCAGAATGTTCGACGTGGGATTCCACGTGATGTTATATCAAACATAGGGATGGCACAGGTCTCTCCACCGTGCGTTCAGTC